AAATATAAATAGAAAATTCATTGCTATTTATATTACTTTTTTTATACATGTTTAACTTATGGAAGACCCTTTAGGTAAACCACCGGTGTGTAAAAATTAATCAATAATCAGCCCCCTCCGAAGAAAAATCCTGGCTACGCCACTGCGTAGTACTTTACCAATCATTTCTCAGAGTACAAAGAATTTTCAATCGTCTTATTTAGATTGAAGATTTACAGATTAATACACCTAATAAATAATAACATTTTCGTCTTTTTTGATTCTAAGTGGAGTGATAAATGTTAAAATGTATCTGTCATCATATTTTGGAGCAATAGTAATATCAGTAAAAAATGCTTCAAAATTCAACTTTTGCCATGATGGTTGCTGGTACAAATTAGATCTATGTATATTTTGTATACTGAGTACTGGGAGTATATATTTTTATTTTGTTATGCCTTATTCAAAAGTGAATAACTGTATAGATAATAACTGTATACATGAAACCTATACCTACATGAAATTTTGGCCAAGGTTTTATTCATCATCTAGACACGATATTATTTTCAAAATACTTTGACTTTTCTTGAGATACTTGAGCTACTTCTACATTTATTGTATACATTTGAAATGTTTGACTTGTTTAGTTTTTTTATTAATGCAGCTAATTTTTTTTTTTTTTAGTCAAAAACCTTAAAAATGTATCATAACAAGTACCTATCCTCATAAGTTTTTTTTACTGTAGGAATCAAAAATACATATTAATTCACAATACTTTTTTATAGTCATCAGAAGTTCAGATTTTCACGAAAGTCGTCCGTATCACATAAATGTACAAATAATTTTGCCGTTGAAAATAATATTATATAACATTTTTAATTTAAAACAAAATTTGAAAGTTAAGATTTTTGCTTTATTTTTTCATTAGCTCGATTAGGTAATGATGGAATTTAATAACAAGTTTCGGGTGGTAAATCATTGTTTGAATGGTTTGATTACATACATCAACATATATATCATGTTAGAAAATCATATATTTTGACAGAATCGCGGGAATTATAATATCTCATCTATCGATATTTAGTACATAGTTTCATAGTTATAGCAAGTAGTCTTTATTTAAAATGCTTCCGACATTGTATTTTCTATTCTTACTTGATACTGTGTATTCTCCATATACATTTTGGTTAGACCTATTTACTTCTTTGGGATCTAAAACAAATCTATTATATTATAAAGAGTGTGCCGATGCCCATTGTCATAAAATATGTTCTTGAAGTAAATAAATAGTTGCCAAGTGTTTTGAATGTATTTCAAAATATGTTGAATAATTTCAAATTGTACCATTATTGAACCTATTTATCTCGATTTATAGTGCGCGGAAATCGTATTAACTTAAGTTAATAACACAAATTGTTATAGAAAATGAAGTACCTATAAATGCCTATAATGTTATAATAGACCATACTTTTATATAAGGCCGATGAGTTCGTACCTAAGTTTGAACTCGCTATATAGTATCTCAGAATATCTCAGTTAACTATATAATGGACCGATTGCAATCAAAGTTATATTAATAGATTCCTCGAGACTCGGGGGTCGTTTATAAGTTTACTCATTTATATAGGCAAGATCACACATGAAATTCATTTCTTACCTCAAAAATCAAATAATTTTTTATTTGGTTGGCATTGATAATTAAAGTAAAATTTAAAAAATAAAAATTTCGCACAGATTAGCTGATTGCGTTGTTATCAAATTTGTTTTAAATAAGAGGAAATTATATTTAATGTATTGTTTTTTATTCAAATGTACGACAAAATACAATGTCCTAATGTTTGTAGCTTCTATAGACACAAAAAATACTTGACTAATTTTGATAAATGTTTAAAAGATTGTTCTTAGAGATATCAGGTACAAGTGAAGAGAGGTAATTTTGATCATGTTAGAAAATATTGATAGGTATTATATTAAGTGCTAAAAATTATTTGTTATAGACGAATGTCCCAGCTCGGTAGAATTAAGTAAATAAAAATACATCCATATATGTGTACACCGATGTCGATTTTCTTGTGAATATAAATAAACACTAAACCAGAGGTATACCAATAAAATATAGCACCGGCGCATTTATGCCCGTTCATTTTTTTCCCAGGTAAAATCTGGAGGTTATTTACGCAGTTATAGTATTTATTATAGTTTAATGTATACAATATTTTTGCAACAATTAGTTTAAAAACTATATTAATATAACGTACAGTTTAATTTAATCTAACTTAACCTAATATAACCTAACAGTAATACAAATAAACTACATAACATTATTAAATTTCTTCAAATGTGCTAAAGGCTGAAGCATCCGTCTGAACTCAGAATAATTCAAATTTTATACATCTAGATAAACCTACTCAATGACATACCCTTGATCTTCAAGGACCAAAACCTATCATAATAGATACAATAACGCTATATACCTATTATACATTGATAATTTGAATATATATTTATTGAATTATGTATAAAGTTTTATTGATTTATCAGTATGTACATTTAAGTTTAAAAACATAGGTAATGGGATTTCGTAATTTGTCAGTTAAATTATATATTTATATGAATAGCATGTTTTTCCAATGCATTAATGAATATATAACGCTATAGAAAAACAAAACTAAGATAATTGAAAAAAATGATTATTCTGTTGGTAATAACCTTGAATAAAGAAAATAATTAATTACTGCGACGATTTTTATAATCGTTAAAACGAAAAATATTTCTAACGAGTTTATTGATTTACCTAGTTAGTTTTAAATGGTTATTAATTTCTAAAAATTGATTTTGAATACCTACGTAATTAATACCTGTAGATATTTTGTTTAAGTTGCCAAAATATATATAGTATAGGTACCTTCTATAATTTTATCATAATGCGTATTGATTATTTTGGTACTAGGTAGTGATGTATATTTATGTCAATCGATCAATATTGTGAATTATACTAATTAAAATATAATGCTATAATTTGAGTATATAATTAATAATATGTTATTGATTGTTGGCCTATAATACTTAGTGTCGATCTGGCACGTAAAAGGCCCATAAATCAGCTTTTTAATTGTAGGCTTCATTATTATAAGTGGCCTTGGGCCCTATAAAGAAAAATGTCTGCTAAAAATTTCATGCAGTTAAATATTTTGATAAACACTTTATACGTGGTCCTTCCTCCCTACATTTTTCATGGACGCAGACCAGAAACACGCCAAACAAGTCACTGATAATACTAACAACAATTGAATAATCAAATATTCAAATGATTATATACAGTGATTTATGATTTATTTAACTAATATTAACAATAATAATGTGATAATTTCTGTTTACCTCTGACGAACTGTTGGTACGTATTAAAATTGTTCGGCACGATGAACTTCTCTGCATGACAAAACAGTAAAAATTATATTGTTACCATGCCATGTGTCGAGTGAATCGTGACCGCACGGTGGCGGCGGCCAAATCATCACCTGGCCCACGTGGTCTGCTGGAGCGGTGTGAACGCCGAATCAAAATTTTGCCTGGTCGACGGCTGTGGCGAGACGACCGCGGCGTCGAGATGACGGCCTCCGCGGTGATCACGATGGTCGTGGCCGTCGTCGTCGTCGTCATCGTCCAGCTCGCGCTGTGGTTGACGGCCACCTGGTCGCGCCGGTGACACGTTGGCCGGTGGGGCGGCGGGCGACGATCTCTTTCCCATAATGGAGTCGATGCTGAACCCGGTGGACGGCTGTTTGACGGCCAATCGACCGCCACCGGCCACTACAGTGGTCGCGTACGACGGCTGTATCAGATTGCCGGGCTGGTGCAAAACCAGTGCGGGTGGCTGCGACGGGTGTTGAGGTTTGTATGCGGCTGCTGCGGCGGCTGCCGCCGCGGCCGCGGCCACCTGTCCGTTGTGCAGCAGGTTCAGACCAAACGTTATGCGCGCCAGCTCAGCGGCCGGAAGTTGTAACGGCTGCATTGCGGCTACTGGCTGCGTCGGCGAAGGTTGCTGTGACTGAGAGCCCTGCTGCTGTTGTTGCTGCTGCAGAGGCTGTGGCTGGGCTTGCGACGGGTGTGGCTGCTGAAGTTGTGGCGGTGGTGGCCCGAGATGATGGTAAGGATAGTGATGGTGGTGGTGTAACACCGAGTATGGGTCTGCAGCTGCGGCGAAGTGATTGTGATGTGGATGGTGATGTGGATGGTGTGGATGGTGTTGGTGATGGTCGCCACGGTGGATGAAAAAGTCCGACGGGGCCTGCATGCGCTTGTACCGCTTGCGCCGGCGAAGAAAGCTACCGTTGTCAAACATGTCCTCGGCCATTGGGTCCAGCGTCCAATAGTTGCCCTTTCCCGGGTTGCCCGGTTCCCGAGGAATCTTGATGAAGCAGTCGTTAAGTGACAGGTTGTGCCTGATAGAGTTTTGCCAGGCAGGGAACTTGTCACGGTAGTACGGGAACCGGGACATGATGAACTCACAGATGCCGCTCAGCGTGAGCTTCTTGTGCGGTGATTGAAGTATGGCCATGGTGATTAGAGCTATGTAACTGTACGGTGGCTTGACGGGTGATCCGTTACCGGTGCCCGACGTCTTGTCACCGTCTTCGCCATCACCCACTTGTGCGTCCGGCGACGTCGTCTTGCTACGGCGGCCACCACCGTTGTTGTTGTCATTGCACCCGGCCGCGACGGTCGCCGCGTCGTATTCGTCATCGTCATCAGCTGAATCCACGTTCACGTCCGTCGTCTCGGCCGAGCCGACACTACACGGTGGTGACACGGACGCCGCCGTAGAACCGGCCTGTACCATTACGGTGGCGGCGGATGCGGCACCGGCACCACCGCCGACGCCCCTCAAGTCCAACGGGCTTACGACCTGATGCATGGCCACCGAATCCAGGGCGGCCTGGTACCGGCGACTGAAATCGTAGACGGGCAGAAACACGGCGGCCGCTGCGGCCGCGGCTGCGGCGGATGAGGATGAAGAGTTGGCCAGGTGACTTCCACCCGTGCTACCGCTACCGCTGCTACTGGTGCTACTGCTGCGATGGTGTTGTTGCTGATGACGGTTGTTGTTGTTGTTGTGGTGGTGAAGAAGGTTGTGGTGATCGTCGTCCTGCATGCCAGCGGTGCCGATCACCACGCAGCACATTTGGCCACAGACTCACAAGTCATGTGCAACCACGGAGACGGGATCGAAAATTAAAAATTGGGGAAATAAAATTTTGCGCCTATTATAGGTATATTATTATTGCTAATTTTAGTACAAAGGTGTCGCGGATGAAAACGAAACGATTACGAAGGTTCGTGGGTTCGAAACAAATCGGTTTGCCGAGCGCAAAAAAAATATATCATGTGAAACGGTATTTGTTTTTTGTTATGCGGTAGGAAAAGTGAAAAGTGAATCTATCGGCAAGAAGCTGGTTATAGTCGTACGCGACGGTGACGGTTGCGGCGGCGGCGGCAAATGCGACGGTAACGTCTATTATAGGTTCACGTTGACGTGTGACGCGCGATATTATCACTGAGCCGTCGACTGCTGCGTCGGTATAGCGTTGGCACCGATGACGACGACGACGACGACGACAACGACGACTGCAGTGGC